GAGTAACAGGGTTCTGTGCTGGGTACCTTACTCTCTATATGCAGAGTAACAGGGTTCTGTGCTGGGTACCTTACTCTATATATGCAGAGTAACAGGGTTCTATGCTGGGTACCTTACTCTATATATGCAGAGTAACAGGGTTCTATGCTGGGTACATTACTCTATATATGCAGAGTAACAGGGTTCTATGCTGGGTACATTACTCTATATATGCAGAGTAACAGGGTTCTGTGCTGGGTACCTTACTCTATATATGCAGAGTAACAGAGTTCTGTGCTGGGTACCTTACTCTATATATGCAGAGTAACAGGGTTCTATGCTGGGTACATTACTCTATATATGCAGAGTAACAGGGTTCTGTGCTGGGTACATTACTCTGTATATGCAGAGTAACAGGGTTCTATGCTGGGTACATTACTCTATATATGCAGAGTAACAGGGTTCTATGCTGGGTACCTTACTCTATATATGCAGAGTAACAGGGTTCTGTGCTGGGTACAATACTCTATATATGCAGAGTAACAGGGTTCTATGCTGGGTACATTACTCTATATATGCAGAGTAACAGGGTTCTATGCTGGGTACATTACTCTATATATGCAGAGTAACAGGGTTCTATGCTGGGTACATTACTCTATATATGCAGAGTAACAGGGTTCTATGCTGGGTACCTTACTCTATAGATGCAGAGTAACAGGGTTCTATGCTGGGTATCCTTCATCATCTGCACTACATGGCCAACAGTTAGTGGACACCCCTTCAAATGCGTGGATTTGGCTATTTCAGCCACACCCGTCGCTGACAGGTGTATAAAATCAAGCAGACAGCCATGCAATCTCCATAGACAAACATTGGCAGTAGAATGGCCCATACTGAAGAGCTCATTGACTTTCAACGTGGCACCGTCATAGGATGCCACCTTTCCAACAAGTCAGTTCCTTAAATTTCTGCCCTGCTAGAGCTGCCCCGGTCAACTGTAAGTGCTGTTATTGTGAAGTGGAAATGTCTAGGAGCAACAACGGCTCAGCCACGAAGTGGTAGGCCACACAAACTCACAGTACGGGACCGGCGAGTGCTGAAGCGCGTAGCATGTAAAAATAGTCTGTCCTCGGTTGCAACACCCACTACCAAGTTCCAAACTGCCTCTGGAAGCAACGTCAGCACAAGAACTGTTCGTCATGAAATGGGTTTCCATGATCGAGCAGCCGCACGGAAGCCGACGATCACCATGTGCAATGCCAAGCGTCGGCTGGAGTGGTGTAAAGCTCACCGCCATTGGACTCTGGAGCAGTGGAAACACGTTCTCTGGAGTGATGAATCATGCTTCACCCTCTGGCAGTCTGATGGACTAATCTGGGTTTGGCGGATGCCAGGAAAACGCTACCTGCCCGGATGCATAGTGCCAACTGTAAAGTTTGGTGGAGGAGGAATAATGGTCTGGGGCTGTTTTTCATGGTTCAGGCCCCTTAGTTCCAGTGAAGAGAAATCTTAATGCTACAGCATTCAATGACATTCTAGATGATTCTATGCTTCCAACTTTGTGGCAACAGGTTGGGGAATGCCCTTTCCTGTTTCAGCATGACAATGCCCCCATGCAGAAAGCGAGGTCCATACAGAAATGGTTTGTCCAGATCGGTGTGGAAGAACTTGCCTGGCCTGCACAGAGAAATGACCTCAACCCCATCGAACACCTTTGGGATGAATTGGAATGCCGACTGCGAGCCAGGCCTAATCGCCCAACATCAGTGCCCGATCTCACTAATGCTCTTGTGGCTGAATGGAAGCAAGTCCCCGCAGCAATGTTCCAACATCTAGTGGAAAGCCTTCCCAGAAGAGTGGAGGCTGTTATAGCAGCAAAGGGGGACCAACTCCATATTAATGCCCATGATTTTGGAATGAGATGTTCGACGACCAGGTGTCCACATACTTTTGGTCATGTAGTGTACTTCCCCTTGGTCAGATCCTTCTTCACTTCAACCTGCTATGGAAGCATTTCTCTCTCACACACACACACACTTGGTTTTACGATCCTTGTGGGGACCAGAAGTCCTTGACTTCCACTGCTATGGAAGCATTTCTCTCTCACACACACACTTGGTTTTACGATCCTTGTGGGGACCAGAAGTCCTTGACTTCCACTGCTATGGAAGCATTTCTCTCTCACACACACACTTGGTTTTACGATCCTTGTGGGGACCAGAAGTCCTTGACTTCCACTGCTATGGAAGCATTTCTCTCTCACACACACACTTGGTTTTACGATCCTTGTGGGGACCAGAAGTCCTTGACTTCCACTGCTATGCCGATGACACCCAGATCTACCTCAGCACCAAACCCAGATCTACCTCAGCACCAAACCCAGATCTACCTCCGCACCAAATCCCTCCTCAACCCACATTGAATCCTGCATCTCTGCAATAAAAACATGGACGCAACAAAACTTCCTCAAGCTCAACAGCGATAAAACGGAACTCCTCCACACAGGCACCAAATCCACCCTCACCAAAGCTGGCAACCTCCCCCTCACCATGGATGACACCACCACTATTTCTCCCACCCTCCATGCACGCAACCTTGGGTCATCCTAGACTCCACCCTCTCCTTAGACCACCACATAAGACAGACTGTCAAATACTCATTCTTCCACCTCCGCAACATTTCCAATGTCAGATTCTCCCTCTCCCGTCCTGCTGCTGAAACCCTCATACATGCACTCATCTCCTCCCGTCTTGACTACTGCAACTCACTACTCTCAGTCATCAACTCAAGCTCCCTCAATAAGCTCCAAATGGTTAAAAACTCTGCAGCCCGACTCCTCACCCACACCAAGTCCTGGCAGCACATCACCCTTGTCCTCTGTGAACTCCACTGGCTCCCTGTCTTCTAACGCATTGATTACAAGATCCTCCTTCGGGACCTACAAAGCCCTTCACCACCTTGCCCCCCACCCTTACCTCTCAGACCTTCTTCTTCCCACTCCGTTCCGCCACAGCAGGCCACCTTGTCATCCCCAGGTCCAAGCTCCAGAGCTTCCACTCCGTTCCGCCACAGCAGGCCACCTTGTCATCCCCAGGTCCAGGCTCCAGAGCTTCCACTCCGTTCCGCCACAGCAGGCCACCTTGTCATCCCCAGGTCCAGGCTCCAGCGACAGGGCTCTTCTCCAGGGTTGCTCCTAGGCTTTGGAACTCCCTCCAGCCATCCGTGACTCTGAGTGCATCACTATCTTTCAGTCCCTCCTAAAGCCCCGCCTCTTTGACAAGGCCTGTATTTCTTTTAATTTCTATCATTGTAAAGCGTCTTTGAAAAGTCCCATGTATTATTATTATAACAGTTGTTTAAAACATATTGACAGGAATAGAAATGCAATGTTAAGGACAACAATACGACACCTTGTGGTGGATCCATAGTAGTAGTTTATTATGGTAGAGTCAACTACTAAACATGTATGCCTGAACCATGCAATGGTTCTCTAGGCCATCAACTCCATCTGTCTAGACATTACTTATTCATATTGAACATATTCTCCAAACGTTCTACACTTTGTCCCAAATGGCACCCTATTCCCTATGGGCCAGAAGAAGTGCACTATAAAGGTGTGTCTCTAAAATGCTGGGAGAAGGAAGCAGCTTCCCACTAGTTTTTATATCTCACCTTTGTTTGATCAGAGTCCCATTGAGACAAGAGAGGCCCTGAATCAGGAGACAAAATGAACTTAGAGCAGCGTTTTTATAGGATGAACCAGGTGTTCGTCACTCTGGCCCGGTGCCAGTCCTCGCAACACAACAGGAAGCTACCGTGCCACGGCAGACCGCACGCTACCCCCGGACAGAAAGTTACTGTGCCGCCATGCCAGTCTGTCATGTGACCGCCCCCCCCCCCCCCCCCGCCCAGGGTAAGTCATGCTCCCTGCCCGCTCCCCAAACACACACAAACACTTCAGCAGACCTCAAATAATCAGCTCTGACATAAACATTATTTATTTGAAAAGTATGCAAGTACAGTGTTGGGATCTATTCTATGAAAAAAACACTGCTTATACCAAATACACAGACAAATGATTCTTCACCAATGTCGAATACAGACAAATGATTCTTCACCAATGTCGAATACAGAAAAATGATTCTTCACCAATGTCGAATACAGACAAATGATTATTCAATATAAACATGACAGTAAACAACAAAGACTGATGTGTTTTCAGAGATTCATTTGGTACCAGGTTGTTGTGGAAGTTCCCTAAAATGCCTGTATGGCAGTTCACTGAGACAATACCACCACCTGCTGGTAGCAACAGACAACTACACAACAGAGAAGGGAATCATATTGACGAACAGACAGTGACTCTGTTCCACAACATAAGAGCTTCAGAATGTAAGAAATGTGAACATTTCTGGTTGTTCTGTAATTAATAAAGTAATTAGGATGGATCACCAGCTGCCTGCATACTGAACAAAAAAATATTAAATATTAACCTTAACATGTGACAATTTCAACGATGATACAGTAAATCAGTCAATTGAAATACATTCATTAGACCCTAATCTATGGATTTCACATGACTGGGCATCTGTGAAAAAAACTGCACATTTTAGAGCAGCCTTTTATTGTCCCCAGCACAAGGTGCACCTGTGTAATGATCAAGCTGTTTAATCAGCTTCTTGATACACCACACCTGTCAGGTGGATGGATTATCTTGGCAAAGGAGAAATGCTCACTAACAGGGATGTAAACAAATGTGTGCACAAAATTTGAGATAAATAAGCTTTTTCTGCATATGGAACATTTTCTGGGATCATTTATTTCAGCTCATGAAACATGGGACCAACACTTTACACGATGCGTTTATATTTTTGTGTTTGATACGGTTCCATTTATTCCGTTCCAGAGCCGGTCCTCTGATAAACAGCACCACCAGCCACCATTGGGTCAGACCAGAGCCGGTCCTCTGATAAACAGCACCACCAGCCACCATTGGGTCAGACCCAAACTAAACCATAGCCTCATCTCTTCATCAGGTGGTTGATGGACCTCACCTCATCACTGGACAGAGGAGACAGGTTGTATCCTGTCAGCTCCGGTTTCCCTGGAAACACAAACACAAGTCGTCTGGAGCTCAGCTGGTAGAGCACGGCGCTTGGTCCTCTGGAGCTCAGCTGGTAGAGCACGGCGCTTGGTCCTCTGTAGCTCAGCTGGTAGAGCACGGTGCTTGTAACACCAGGGGTAGTGGGTTCGATCCCCGGGACCACCCATACACAAAAAATAATAATGTATGCACGCATGACTGTAAGTCGCTTTGGATAAAAGCGTCTGCTAAATGGCATATTATTATTATTAAGTCTTTACAACAGTATCCACAAGATAATGCATACTAACGTTAATCAAATCAAATTGTATTGGCCACATGCGCCGAATACAACAGGTGCAGACATTACAGTGAAATGCTTATTTACAGCCCTTAACCAACAGTGCATTTATTTTTAATTTAAAAAAAGTAAAATAAAACAACAAAAAAAAGTGTTGAGAAATTTAGGCTATGCATTGTTGAAGGATACATTACTGATCGGGGCCCGGTTTTCCAAAAGCATCTTAAGGCTAAGTTTATCATGAAAACCATAGGATCCTGTGCTTCTTTGATGAACTTAGCCATAAGATGCTTTTGGGAAACCAGGCCCAGTACTGTCCACTACAGCCTTAAGGAAAGGAAGCATGGTTGATGATATTATGTAAAGATTTTACCTTGCAGTTCATTGAGGCGGTTGAGTTTGTCTTTCAGGGCTTGGCGAAGGTTGTTGATCTCCTTGTCAAGCTGCTCCTGATCTGGTCAGAGAAACCCAACACATTCCAGATGAAACCCAACACATTCCAGATGAAACCCAACACATTCCAGATGAAACCCAACACATTCCAGATGAAACCCAACACATTCCAGAGGCTGGCATCCTGCTTCACAGTCATTAAAACAGATCTGAGCATGAGGAAACTCTTACCCCTCTGTATCATCTCTTTAGTCTTTGCTTTGGGGAATTTGATGAACATGTTTCCAAAGCAAACCTTCACTTTCTCTGCATGTACAAAAAAAGGATGAATAAGAGATTGAATTGCAGGTGATACATAAAACATTTACGTATTTTCTGAGAGATAATGGAACATTGAAATGTGTTTATGAATTATCATTCAGAAAGACTGATATGAAACGTCGTCATCGTCCACGGCTCTGCCTGTGACTTTTAATTTAGCATCAAAGAGGGTGGTAATGTCTTTGAGTTTATTAATCTTTGAATAAGAGCTCCGAACCGTCGTCATTCTGAACAGCACCCACCTTCCGATGCCATCTCATGTTTCAGAGCATTCAACGCTTCCCTGTTCATATTCCGCTTCGTGTCCAGATCCACGATCTAAAAACAGCCACATTAACAGCAGTAGTTGTGTTAACTGTATTATACAGTGACAATGAGTGAATGTGAGGAAAATGGAATGTCAAAAACTAGCTAGCCTGGGTGCGACCTAGCCTGGGTGCGACCTAGCCTGGGCAACCGCTAGTGGGCTCTATGGTTCTCCACAGCCGGTAATAAAGTCGTGTACCCCGGCGTCCGGTTCATCTTGCCATTTAATCTTGTTAAGGAGGAAATGTAAGGAAAAAATACAATCCGACTTCGGAATGAAACGTTGCCTTTTCACATCTCATATGTTGCCTGACTACAATATTTTATCTTGATACGTTAATAAAATACATGCTGTGTTAATTTTGGCATTTTTACCTGCCTATGTACCGTAGATAGCAAACCCATAATAAGTCAATAGGGCTAACTAGCTAGCTACTAGTACTGTTAGCTAGCCAGATACTATGAATAATTGTTAGCCAGCAATGCACGAGGAATTGACATCTTTCTTACATAATATTAGTTTTAGGTCATTTTTGCCTGTTAAACTATCTGGTTAGCTACATTATTTTGATTCACATATAGCTAGTTGATAGTTATGAAGTAAACCGTTTGCTTTGTGTATATATATATATATATATTTTCGTCTATTGTTGAAGGTTCAGTGAAGCGTGAGATACTAACACAGATAGAACAATGAGCCAGATATTCCACCGGATGTATAAATACCAAGCATCTGATTGGCGTTTCCTCTCACTACCAAATATGGTAGTGAGAGGAAGCCCAGGGGCCGGCAGTGGGAGAAGATGGAAGGAGATGGATTCTGGCCAACATTCTGCAAATATCTCAATACAGTTTTCTGATCCCAAAACTAGAATATGTTATGAACAGAGTGGAGTAAGTTTTGTAGACTTTAGCCTTTGTGCATTGTTTAGAAGGAGTGCATTGTTTAGAAGGAGTGCAAAGGTGAATTGAGTTACTGCACACGCGCACTTCACAGAGTAGGCGTTCCCTAACGGAAATATGCAGATATATGCTAGAACGGGCCAATAGGATCTCGCTAGCTCGTGATTGGCTCTGCCCACCTCCTTGCTTGTTCTGTCCACTGTATTACTATGTTGGTACCAGCGAGCAACGACGACCATCACCATCAATCATATTTAACATGTTTTTTCTGTCATTCCGCCATTGCCCACAAACATACCACAGGTGTCGTAAAAGAGTGTCTCACATCTTCCTTTTATTTTCCTTTTTACAAACATACACATTTCATCAACAAGCAATGTCAATTCACAAATACCAATTCATCCCCGTTTCAAAATAGTCCGTGAAAATATCAAAACAAACCCCAACAAGTCAATGAGTCAGCCTCTCAGTCCATTAAACATCACCACTGAATAGTCAGTCTTTCTGGAGGCCTGATGCAGGGTCTGAAGCTGCTGTCACAGAAACATCCCTACTTGTTCTCCTTTCTTTGTCCTGTGTCCCGTGGCAGTATGACTGTGTCTCCAGTGGCAGTATGACTGTGTCTCCAGTGGCAGTACGACTGTGTCCAGTGGCAGTATGACTGTGTGTCCCGTGGCAGTATGACTGTGTCTCCAGTGGCAGTATGACTGTGTCCCGTGGCAGTATGACTGTGTCTCCAGTGGCAGTATGACTGTGTCTCCCGTGGCAGTATGACTGTGTCTCCAGTGGCAGTATGACTGTGTCTCCCGTGGCAGTATGACTGTGTCCAGTGGCAGTATGACTGTGTCCAGTGGCAGTATGACTGTGTCTCCAGTGGCAGTATGACTGTGTCTCCAGTGGCAGTATGACTGTGTCTCCCGTGGCAGTATGACTGTGTCCAGTGGCAGTATGACTGTGTGTCCCGTGGCAGTATGACTGTCTCTCCCGTGGCAGTATGACTGTGTCTCCAGTGGCAGTATGACTGTGTCCCGTGGCAGTATGACTGTGTCCCGTGGCAGTATGACTGTGTCTCCCATGGCAGTATGACTGTGTCTCCCGTGGCAGTATGACTGTGTCCAGTGGCAGTATGATTGTGTCTCCAGTGGCAGTATGACTGTGTCTCCAGTGGCAGTATGACTGTGTCCCGTGGCAGTATGACTGTGTCTCCCGTGGCAGTATGACTGTGTCTCCAGTGGCAGTATGACTGTGTCTCCCGTGGCAGTATGACTGTGTCTCCCGTGGCAGTATGATTGTGTCTCCAGTGGCAGTATGACTGTGTCTCCAGTGGCAGTATGACTGTGTGTCCCGTGGCAGTATGACTGTGTGTCCCGTGGCAGTATGACTGTGTCCAGTGGCAGTATGACTGTGTCCAGTGGCAGTATGACTGTGTCCAGTGGCAGTATGACTGTGTCCAGTGGCAGTATGACTGTGTCTCCAGTGGCAGTATGACTGTGTCTCCAGTGGCAGTATGACTGTGTCTCCCGTGGCAGTATGACTGTGTGTCCCGTGGCAGTATGACTGTGTGTCCCGTGGCAGTATGACTGTGTGTCCCGTGGCAGTATGACTGTGTCCAGTGGCAGTATGACTGTGTCTCCAGTGGCAGTATGACTGTGTCTCCCGTGGCAGTATGACTGTGTGTCCCGTGGCAGTATGACTGTGTGTCCCGAGGCAGTATGACTGTGTGTCCAGTGGCAGTATGACTGTGTCTCCAGTGGCAGTATGACTGTGTCTCCAGTGGCAGTATGACTGTGTGTCCAGTGGCAGTATGACTGTGTCTCCAGTGGCAGTATGACTGTGTCTCCAGTGGCAGTATGACTGTGTCTCCCGTGGCAGTATGACTGTGTCTCCAGTGGCAGTATGACTGTGTCTCCAGTGGCAGTATGACTGTGTGTCCAGTGGCAGTATGACTGTGTGTCCCGTGGCAGTATGACTGTGTGTCCCGTGGCAGTATGACTGTGTCCAGTGGCAGTATGACTGTGTCCAGTGGCAGTATGACTGTGTCTTGTCCAGTGGCAGTATGACTGTGTCTCCAGTGGCAGTATGACTGTGTCTCCAGTGGCAGTATGACTGTGTGTCCCGTGGCAGTATGACTGTGTGTCCCGTGGCAGTATGACTGTGTGTCCCGTGGCAGTATGACTGTGTCCAGTGGCAGTATGACTGTGTCCAGTGGCAGTATGACTGTGTCTTGTCCAGTGGCAGTATGACTGTGTCTCCCGTGGCAGTATGACTGTGTCTCCAGTGGCAGTATGACTGTCTCTCCCGTGGCAGTATGACTGTGTCTCCCGTGGCAGTATGACTGTGTCTCCCGTGGCAGTATGACTGTGTCTCCAGTGGCAGTATGACTGTGTCTCCAGTGGCAGTATGACTGTGTGTCCAGTGGCAGTATGACTGTGTGTCCAGTGGCAGTATGACTGTCTCTCCCGTGGCAGTATGACTGTCTCTCCCGTGGCAGTATGACTGTGTCTCCAGTGGCAGTATGACTGTGTCTCCAGTGGCAGTATGACTGTGTGTCCCGTGGCAGTATGACTGTGTCTCCAGTGGCAGCATGACTGTGTGTCCAGTGGCAGTATGACGGTGTGTCCCGTGGCAGTATGACTGTGTCTCCCATGGCAGTATGACTGTGTGTCCCGTGGCAGCATGACTGTGTCCTGAGCGTCCTCAAACGTCTCCTGTGTTCTCAAAAGGCTTTGTCTATTGCGCCATCTTCTGTCCTGACTGTATATGACTGAGGCGTAATCTCCTCCAATACAGTAGCCTTTCTAACCCATTAATCCGGACGCCGAATTCGAACCGCATCCTGAGCTGCCAACGGTGACAACAGTCTAGCAGTTTTGTCATAGTAGAGTTTGTCTTGCCTTCAACTGCAGGGTCCTGCACAGCTAATGTTACATATTACCTCAACTACCTCAACTAGCCGGTGCCCCCGCACATTGACTATGCAACGGTACCCCCCTGTATATATAGCCTCCCTACTGTCACTTTATTCTATTGTATATATAGCCTCCCTACTGTCACTTTATTTTTACTTCTGCTCTTTTTTTCTCAACACTTTTTTGTTGTTTTATTCTTACTTTTTCTGTTTAAAATAAATGCACTGTTGGTTAAGGGCTGTAAGTAAGCATTTCACTGTAATGTCTGCACCTGTTGTATTCGGCGCATGTGACCAATAAAATTTGATTTGATTTGATTTTTAATGGGCAGTGATTCAGGCAGAAAATAGGCAACCTGGAACGCAACTTGCGTCCCATTAGGATTTCTGCAGGTGACAGGCCACATTCCAAGAGCGCTACTCTGTAAGACAATAAAGCCAAGTATGGATCAGTCCCACGGTGTGCTGCCTTGTTGAAGAGTATGGATCAGTCCCACTGTGTGCTGCCTTGTTGAAGAGTATGGATCAGTCCCACTGTGTGCTGCCTTGTTGAAGAGTATGGATCAGTCCCACTGTGTGCTGCCTTGTTGAAGAGTATGGATCAGTCCCACTGTGTGCTGCCTTGTTGAAGGGTATGGATCAGTCCCACTGTGTGCTGCCTTGTTGAAGGGTATGGATCAGTCCCACTGTGTGCTGCCTTGTTGAAGGGTATGGATCAGTCCCACTGTGTGCTGCCTTGTTGAAGGGTATGGATCAGTCCCACTGTGTGCTGCCTTGTTGAAGGGTATGGATCAGTCCCACTGTGTGCTGCCTTGTTGAAGAGTATGGATCAGTCCCACTGTGTGCTGCCTTGTTGAAGAGTATGGATCAGTCCCACTGTGTGCTGCCTTGTTGAAGAGTATGGATCAGTCCCACTGTGTGCTGCCTTGTTGAAGAGTATCTTCACCCTTTTCAACCTGTCCGTTACTTTTAGGATATAGCGGACTAGAGGTTATAGGTCTGAACTCATAATGCTCAGCAAACGTCTTAAACGTAGGTGCATTATCAGGAACCACCACTAGGGGAATCCCATGCCTAGCAAAAAAAAAATTCAAATGCAAAATGACAGTCTTTGCTGTTGTGCTGCACAAGGGTGCAATTTCAAGGTTATAGTCAAACAAGTCCACTCCAACCTTCTCCCAGGCTGTGGTGGGTACCTTCTCCCAGGCTGTGGTGGGTACCTTCTCCCAGGCTGTGGTGGGTACCTCTCCCATAACCATGGGCTCCTTGGGCTGTCTATAATGACATTTGAGACGTGTCACAATTTCCCACCGTTTGCTCAATGTTAGAATTGATATTTGACCAATAAAGGGACTCTCTGGCCTTCTCTTACATTTCTCAGCTCCCAGAGGTCCTTAATCACCACTCTGTTAGTCTTCAACACCATTGACCACTGACAGCTCTGCGCTTACTGGGAAGTGCTGCTTACAAAAGCCCATTTTCCAGATGATGGATCACCTTGCAAAGAATGGGATCTGTTATGGTCTCTTCAGCTATTCTCCTTAGTTGCTGTCAGAAACAGGAAGTGACTCCCATGACCATATCCACATGCAAGGCAACCTCCTCCTCCATAAACTCCTGACTGAGGCTGTTTTGGGCCACCGCTGGTGGAGCCACTGAGAGGGCATCTGCTACCACTAAAGTTGACCCAGGCACCTACAGTACCAGTCAAAAGTTTGGACACACCTACTCATTCAAGGGTTTTTCTTTATTTTTACAATTTTCTACATTGTGAAAGCCATCAAAACTATGAAATAACACATATGGAATCATGTAGTAACCAAAAAAGTGTTAAACAAATCAAAATATATTTGATACTAGAAATTCTTCAAATAGCCACACTTTTCCTTGATGACAGCTTTGCACAGTCTTGGCATTCTCTCAACCAGCTTCACCTGGAATGCTTTTCCAACAGTCTTGAAGGAGTTCCCACATATGCTGAGCACTTGTTGGCTGCTTTTCCTTCACTCTGTGGTCCGACAAACCATCTCAATTTGGTTGAGGTCGGGGGATTGTGGAGGACAGGTCATCTGATGCAGCCCTCCATCACTCTCCTTCTTGGTAAAATAGCCCTTACACAGTCTGGAGGTGTGTTGGGTCATTATCCTGTTGAAAAACAAATGATAGTCCCACTAAGCCCAAACCAGATGGGATGGCATATCGCTGCAGAATGCTGTGGTAGCCATGCTGGTTAAGTGTGCTTTGAATTCTAAATAAAATCACAGACAGTGTCACCAGCAAAGCACCCCCCCACCATAACACCTCCTCCTCCATGCTTCACGGTGGGAACCACACATGCGGAGATCATCCATTCACCCACACCGCGTCTCACAAAGACACGGCAGTTGGAACCAAAAATCTCCAATTTGGACTCCAGACCAAAGGACACATTTCCACCGGTCTAATGTCCATTGCTCGTGTTTCTTGGCCCAAGCAGGTCTCTTCTTCTTATTGGTGTCCTTTAGTAGTGGTTTCTTTGCAGCAATTCGACCATGAAGGCCTGATTCACACAGTCCCCTCTGAAGAGTTGATGTTGAGATGTGTCTGTGACTTGAACTCTGAAGCATTTATTTGGGCTGTAATTTCTGAGGCTGGTAACTCTAATGAACTTCTCTGCAGCAGAGGTAAATCTGGGTCTTCCATTCCTGTGGCGGTCCTCATGAGAGTCAGTTTCATCATACTGCTTGATGGTTTTTGAGACTGCACTTGAAGAAACTTTCAAAGTTCTTGAAATGTTCCGTATTGACTGACCTTCATGTCTTAAAGTAATGATGGACTGTTGTTTCTCTTTGCTTATTTGAGCAGTTCTTGCCATAATATGGACTTGGTCTTTTACCAAATAGGGCTATCTTCTGTATACCCCCCCCCCTACCTTGTCACAACACAACTGATTGTCTCAAACGCATTAAGAAGGAAAGAAAATCCACAAATTAACTTTTAGTATGAAAATGTATGCACTCACTAACTGTAAGTCGCTCTGGATAAGAGCGTCTGCTAAATGAATAAAATGTAACAAGGCACACCTGTTAATTGAAATGCATTCCAGGTGACTACCTCATGAAGCTGGTTGAGAGAATGCCAAGCGTGTGCAAAGCCGTCATCAAGGCAAAGGGTGGCTTATTTGAAGAATCTCAAATATAAAATACATGTTTTAATTTGATGTCTTCACTATTATTCTACAATGTAAAAAAATAGTAAAAATAAAGAAAAACCCTTGAATGAGTAGGTGTGTCCAAACTTTTGACTGGTACTGTAGATTAGAACAAAACCATAGCGTTGCAACCTTCATCATCATCATCCTCTGAAGACGAGGAGGCATGTCATTCAGATTTTTTTTAGGGAGATTGGAATAAGGGGTTTATGGTCTGTTTCTAGAATCACCTTTGGTAAGCCATAAATGTAACAGTGAAACTTCTCACAACCAAACGACCAACCCTAGGCACTCCTTTTCTATTGGAGCATAACTCTTCTCAGCATCAGTCAAAGAACGGTCCGCATAAGCCACGTGCTCCACATCCCCTGATGCTCCTGAAGAAGCACTGCTCCAACGCCATCTTTGGAGGCGTCCGTGAACACCTTAGTAGGCCTGTCAGGTTGAAACAAGTTAGCACTGGCTCTTCAGACAAAATGTTTTGTACATCGAACAACTCTCTTTCATGTTCTCTGTTCTATGATAACTCTGTCTTGTCCTGAAGGAGTGACCTTCAGTTCACCGTTTTAGCTGACAGGTTTGGTACAAACTTCCCCAAACAGTTGACCATACCCAAAACACGCGGAATCCCTTTCCTATCTGTGGGGTTTGCCATCTCCCTCACCGCTTTGACCTTGGCATGATCAGGCTGCACAACCTCCGAGGACAGCTTATCCCCTCTGGTACAATCACAAACATAAGTGTTTGGCTTCTTGTTTTACATTTACATCATTTAGCAGACGTTTAGCAAACCTTTAGTCTCAATTGCTTGGCCATTGTACGCTTTGAGAGCCACAGCCTTTTGCATGATGGCTGGTTTGTGCTTTAGCTCATGAAAATCCCTCATTTTGATCAGGTTGGCTTTAGCCAGCTTTAAGGTCAAAATTGTATCATTTGTCCATGAGTGGTACAACCCAGTGGTCACTAGCTCCAGTATGGACCTGTGATGGTTCTTGCCCGTCCTCCATGCAATCCACAGTACCCACAAACAAATCACTTTGTTCATTCTCCTTCGTTTCTCCTTCGTTTCAACTTTGTCTCCCATACTTGTCCTTTGCAAAACACATTTTTCCCCAAAAGATTTTTCCCTTTGCACTTGTAGCAACATTTTCCAAAGGCAGGGCACTTCCTGGCCTGGTGACTGGTGTCACACCTATTACAGTCATATTGCTTGTGGCTCCTTTGCTCACAGCGCCCCCTTGTGTCCTTGTCTACAGAATCCACTGCTGCGCTTTCCACCTCCATAGCAGTGTTTGCTGGTGTGGAGCTAAAGGTTTTAATATGCAATTGTGCCAGCTCATTCGCCTGACATATTTTTTATGCAGTATCCAAATGTAACTCACTTTCCTGCAGCAATCTTTCTCGAACTCTGGAGTCATTTATACCAAACACAATCTCATCTCGAAGCACAAATGAGGTTAGGTCTACAAAATTACACGTACATGCTTTTATTTTCAAATCTGTAACAAAGATGTCAAACTTTTGACCTTGCTGTTGTATACAAGAGACATATGTCTCTTCTTCTTAGGTGAACAATATGTATCAAACTGATCCAGTACCTCCGTCAACTGGTCTTATCCTCATCAAACTGCCCATCTTAATCTTTTCTTTTTATTGGCCAGTCTGAGATATGGCTTTTTCTTTGCAACTCTGCCTAGAAGGTCAGTATCCCGGAGTCACCTCTTCACTGTTGACGTTGAGACTGGTGTTTTGCGGGTACCATTTAATGAAGCTGCCAGTTGAGGACCTGTGAGGCGTCTGTTTCTCAAACTAGACACTAATGTATTTGTCCTCTTGCTCAGTTGTGCACCGGGGCCTCCCACTCCTCTTTCTATTCTGGTTAGAGACAGTTTGCGCTGTTCTGTGAAGGGAGTAGTACACAGCGTTGTATACCATAGGTGTCGTAAAAGAGTGTCATAAACAATCACTCAGAACCACATCAATACTCATCTGTTCCCATTGGAAACGACAGGCTGTGGTCTATCTTGGTTTAGATATAAAAAATATTTGGTAATACAGTAGGGGGAGTGCGAGTGCTTCTCAAATATATTGTTTTATGCATTCTCCATTCTCCTGTCCTCACTCAAGAGAACGTGGTCGGAAAATGCACTCCGAGCATGAAATTGTGGAGCACAGCAGTATGCATATTGAGAAACACCCTAAATGTGGAGAATGATACATTTGCATCTGTTGGCCATCAAGTAGTGCTATTAATTTCTATCCCATTGTAGGCTACTGTAGCCTACCGTTTGATACAATAAATATGTTGAAATGATGATCGCTGGAGTCATTGCAAATCAATTTGTGCCACTACCTCGAGCTGGCAAACGGTTTTAATAAATAGCTTATTACTTCAGTTTATTGTTGTTGTAGTCTCGTGTTATTATGCAATTATTAAATGGCCATGTTTAGTTAATTAAATTGGAAGTTATTAATTGTGATCATGGTCACAGCTCTATTGAAAATGTATCATTCTTCACATTTAATGTCAGTTTCAATGTGGACTTTTCTCTGAAATGAGATGATGGTCTATCTGGGGCTATAGGCTACCTGCATCTAGCTCAGCAAACTTTGGTAGCCTATGCCTATTGAAATGACAAGTCAATCTCGCAAAATAGGCCATTTATAACGGTTTGTAGTCTTAACATCTGGCCATTTATAATGGTTTGTAGTCTTAACATCTGGCACATAATAATGGCAGGATAGACAGAAAATAACCCAACATTCATTGTTTGAAGTTTGTCCAAGTGTTTCTTGCACAGAGATTGAGATCCTCTGTCCAACTTTCATCACTCAAACTCTCCTTTCGGATGTATCTATAGTTATGCAATATGCACATACACAAACAGGATTTATTTACAATTATAAACTGGGTGGTTTGAGCCCTGAATGCTGATTGGTTGAAAGCCGTGGTACATCAGACCGTGTACCACGGGTATGACAAAAAAAATCATTTTCACTGTTCTAATTATGTTGGTAACCAGTTTATAATAGCAATAAGGCACCTCAGGGGTTTGTGGTATATGGCCAATATACCACGGCTAAGAGCCGTCCCTTGGTCATATAGCCTATCACACCTCCTCGGGCCTTATAGCTCAATCATAACAGTCAAACAAGTTAAATCCTCATCCATTGATGGAAAATGATCTGGCGAGTTTAATGAGGGCAAATTATCTTTTCTCTTGAGACATATTCTTAAGCTAGCAAGAATAATTATTTTGATTTTGCTTCTTAGCCTAGATATTTACAAATTAATTTGCTCCATAACATTATGGAAAAAGGGTTTATTTGCTAAATGTGGCAACGGGAAATAAAATGTGGGCGTGTTTTCAGGCATTGTGAGCTGGTTTTGAGAAGTCATTTCCTTAAAATTGTAGATAGACCTGGCAACCCTGAACTCGCCCATAGCAAGCTGCAGCTACCCCTTTCTCCCCTAGTTGACTACATTAAAATGGTGGAAGCCCTGTCCGTGCTAACACGGTCTTTTGGCCACTAGAGGCCTCTATCATTCTCTACGGTACAAAACGGTCGCTGGGGGACACGAGTGCATTACCGGCTGTGCATATCAACCCGAGCACGAGCAGATACTGGAGAGCTCCATAAAGCCCACTAGCGGCTGCCCAGGCTAGGTGCGACCATTATACCTCCGTGGGTGCGACCCACCATGTCCCGGTGGTTCCCTAAAAACACGCCATTCGATACAGTTACGACTTTTTCGTAGTACATTAGGAGAATTAGTTAAAGGGTTAGGGAAAAAGTCCCTTGTCTCGAAGTGGCGTGTTTTTAGGGAGTCCAATGGCTCGCTAGCTGGCCGTTAGCTAACATTAACTAGCTAGCTTCCCAGCTAACGTTTGGTTAAATTACAACCGATTTAATTAGCCTGCGAGCTATCAACATGGACAGTAACAGTGTTCGTACAAAGTATCTTGAATGACCAAACATTACCTGTTGTTTGTTTGCAAGAACATCCTCTGCCGCCTCTTCAACTTCGGTCAGATATTCTAAAATTCGTTCGGCCTCCATGATGGCTGTGTGTTGCAACAAAAATATGTCCTACGTGCAGCAAGTACTTCACAACATATTGGTTCCCATGATAAAATAACTGCCCCAGAATGATGACTTAAGTCCTAAAGACTAATGAATATGTTCTCATTGAACCAAAGACACACATACGTTTATTTTGTTCTTCTTCTTCTGTGGATTTCATATGGTGGTTGGCAACCAACTTTAAGGTACATTAATGCCACCAACTGGACTGGAGTGTGGGCAGAGACAGTGAAAGTCTAAATTTTACCCAATAATCTCGTCTCCCTAAGGAAACGAAATACAGTGGGGAAAAAAAGTATTTAGTCAGCCACCAATTGTGCAAGTTCTCACACTTAAAAAGATGAGAGAGGCCTGTAATTTTCATCACAGGTACACGTCAACTATGACAGACAAAATGAGAAAATGTGAGTCTGTCACATTGTAGGATTTTTAATGAATTTATTTGCAAATTATGGTGGAAAAGTATTTGGTCACCTACAAACAAGCAAGATTTCTGGCTCTCACAGACCTGTAACTTCTTCTAATAATTAAATACTACATCCCCTGATGATTTCCCATGGTCTGATATACCACGGCTTCAACCAATCAGCATTCAGGGCTCAAACCACCCAGTTTATAATTGTAAATAAATCCTGTTTGTGTATGTGCATATTGCATAACTATAGGTGCACCGGGGCCTCCCACTCCTCTTTCTATTCTGGTTAGAGTCAGTTTTTCGCTGTTCTGTGAAGGGAGTAGTACACAGCGTTGTACGAGATCTTCAGTTTCTTGGCAATTTCTCGAATGGAATAGCCTTCATTTCTCAGAACAAGAATAGACTGACGAGTTTCAGAAGAAAGATATTTGTTTCTGGCCATTTTGAGCCTGTAATTGAACCCATAATTGCTGATGCTCCAGATACTCAACTAGTCTCAAGAAGGCCAGTTTTATTGCTTCTTTAATCAGCACAACAGTGTTCAGCTGTACATAATTGCAAAAGGGTTTTCTAATGATCAATTAGCCTTTTAAAATGATAAACTTGGATTAGCAAACACAACGTGCCATTGGAACACAAAACTGATGGTTGTTGATAATGGGCCTCTGTACGCCTATGCAGATATTCCATTAAAAATCAGCCGTTTCCAGCTACAATAGCCATTTACAACATTAATAATAATAATATGCCATTTAGCAGACGCTTTTATCCAAAGCGACTTACAGTCATGTGTGCATACATTTTTACGTATGGGTGGTCCCGGGGATCGAACCCACTACCCTGGCGTTACAAGCGCCGTGCTCTACCAATTGAGCTACAGAGGACCGCATTATTGACCAATGATGCATGTTTGGACTACAACCACAGAGGAAGATACAGTAAAAGCACAATGATGATAAGTCCAATCATATAGAGACAAAGAGAATCCTTCTGCCATTCTGACATACAGTACAGTAACGTGTCTTTTCCAGTTGTAACACAAACACAGCACCCCAGATTGAGATAGTTCTAAATGTTGCGCCTTAGCTGAGATGAGAGTGAGATGATGCACAGTACAGTAGATAATCAACCATGACCTGACTGGTAAGAGGGCTGAGGATAGGACTGTAGGCATATGTCTGAGTGTGTCTCAATGTGCTTTTTTGTGAGAGTTTTTGTGTTGCTGTTGTGTTGATGTGTTTATCTGTGTGTGCATGTGTGTATATCCCCCCCCCCCCCCTCTCTCTCATCCAGGCATGAAGACCCCTCCCTCCCCCAAAAGGTAGCAGCCCCTCCCCTGCCCCGCCCTGGTGGACTTTGCTTTACTCTCCCTGGGCGTCATAGTTCGCCCGGCCTGCCTTCTTCAGCTCAGTGCGAATGTAGTCCTCCTCTAGCTCACGAGCATCACTGATAATATCTTTCACCAGTGCTGATTTTCCCCTATCCAGGTGATGAGGGTGAACTTGGCCCGCTTGCTCATGGCATCACCCGTTGTGATCCGCACAAAGCCAAAGAGACGCACATCATCTGTGCACTGACTCTTGAATTCTTCATAATCTGTCCCCTGGCCCGCCGGCACAATCATATGGCCCTCATATTTAAATGCTGCCCAGTTTATCTCCGTGTTATCGTCTCTGACGAGGTTATAAGCTTCCCTGCAAGCCTCTTTATCGATTCTTGTTGCCATTTTGGATGGACGCAAATGGACAGTAGCCTAGAGATGAAAGAAAGCACACGGCGAAAAGAACAATCCAAAATCCAAAAGGAGCAGAACGAGAGTTCAATAGTCTGAAATCACTCGTCCCTATTGAACAGTCGAACAAGCGCTATTACACGAGGAGTGCGCCGAAAAGGGTGTATCTTTTCTCAATTATCTAAGAAATAGACTATTTTCACGACTCGACTCATTCCTATATCCAGTTTATGGGCGTTGGTGATGTTTGTCAATCAGGTTGCCGTACTAGAGCGGCGAAGTCCCCAGACGCAGGATTCACCTCCTCCCAATGGTCAACTAACAATGTCTACACTGTATTTCTGATCAATTTGATGTTATTTTAATGGACAAAAAATTTGCTTTTCTTTCGAAAACAAGGACATTTCTAAGTGACCCCAAACTTTTGAACGGTAGTGTATACGTTTATTCTACAGAAGGACAATGCCTTTTAAAAACATTTTTAAAACACACTTAAATGAAGTACAGTGAGTGTGCACCAGTATGACCAATGTCAAAAAGGGAAAGGGAAAGGGGGATACCTCGTCAGTACAACTGAATGCATTCAACTGAAATGTGTCTTTCGCATTTAACCCAACCCCTCTGAATCAGAAACGTAAGGGGCCTGCCTTAAACCCCTCTGAAATATAGTCAGGAAAAGTTATTTATATTTGTGCTATGTTAATCGCTATGTTAATTAATATATTCGTAAAGGATAAATACATTGGTGTAGCATTCAAAACATAATATATCTTTATAAAATAACTTATTGCACCTGAACAGGATTTACCTGCACTATCTCTGGATGAAAGACAGATGGAAAATCCTCTCAGTCGCACAACACTGATGAAAAACAAATGTTTAAAAAGTGAAGAAAGAAACTTGCAGCATTGATCACAATCTTTAAATACCGCTAATACTCATTACATCTTACTCAGGCAACAATTATAATAGAGATTAATTTGGTCTTCACAATCAAACATATGTTCAATGAAACCCATGCATATATACATATTCTTGCATATAGAGCTTGTATTTTGGTGAGATCAGAGTTGCATGAGCTGTTATTTTGTGTTAAATTCAACCTGTTTTCCATTTATTCTCCTGACTGAGGTTGTGGTTTTGGTCCCTGGTAGCGGGTGATCCCTTATTGCATTAACATAGTCTGGTTGTACGGTGTAGGGTGAAGTTGCCCCTAGACGCTGATCTGGGGTCAGTCTTCCATTTTCCCCACTAATGGTTTAGGGTAGGATTGGGAGAGGGGAAGCTGATTCTAGATCTGTATCTAGGGGCAACTTCACCCCAGAGTCTGGTTGTACATCCTGGTCCTCAGACCAGACCACTCTCCTCCTCTCAGATCCACTTCTCCTCCCTACTCACATTGGCCAGCCCCAGAGAGAGCACTGTTACACCCAGTCCTCTGCAAAGCCTCAGCCCCAAACTCAGTCTCATTCTTAACCCCAGCCTCAATATCAGCCCCAGTGTAGAAAAGGCAAGGCCTTCAGATTTAGTATTTCCCTACGCACCCCTAGTTTGTCCATTTAGTTGGAATGCCCGACAGGTCATCAGTCAATCACCCTTAACTTTCTACCCAATCAGAGACATTATCTTTAGCCTGCTTTTTGTAAGTCCCGCCTCCAACCAGTGAGTTGCAGTGGCCTTCCAGAAAAGTCTGAATTTCAGACGTGGACACTGATGGACCATGTAGCAAGATAGGTGAGAAGGGGAAGATGATGGAGAGGCGGTAGTGGTGTTGGGTGAAGGCCACGGTGGGGAAGATAGTGGAGGAGGTCGTGGTGTTGGGCGAAGGCCACGGTGGAAAAGATAGTGAAGAGACGGTCGTGGTGTTGGGCGAAGGCCACGGTGTGGATGATAGTGAAGAGGTGGTTGTGGTGTTGGGCGAAATCCACAGTGGGGAGGAGAGTGGAGGCGGTCATGGTGTTGGGCAAACATATGTTGAAATCACTACTAGTCAGGCTTCATTCCGGGCCTTCTTTTTTGCGCAGTCGCTGTGGTCAGACCGAGCAAGCTACAGTCAAGTGGGTCACCTCGTTGAACTCTGAACGACCTAGAGACTATAGTGACGCAGGGATGGTTTTAGCCTGTCCATTTGGTGATGGTAACTCCCTGTTTAAACATATGGTTAATGGACACTGTCCATTAGCAATGTAACATATGGACAATGCCAATATATTATACTGCAGTTGGACAGTCAGTCATCAATCAGCCATCAGTCAATAAGATATCATACTGAAATCAAACTGATACATACTGACACCAAACTCACTTTGTCCAACTTGTATATAAGCCAACTATCACATATGTCAGAGCCGGCCCAAAATTCATAGTGCCTTCTGTTGAAACCATAAAAAACCATTAAACACCTAGTCTTGTGATTCTGGGACTTTTCTAGAGCATGTCCCATGGGTGATGTCTCTGTGTCCTGGGAGCACTTGTCAGGCTAAAGCATGTCTAAAGCAGTCTCTGTGTCCTGGGCTTATGGGGTGGTTCTGTGGGTCTCAAAAGAATACTTGAAGTACACATGGCTGTGTGAGTCTGTCCAATTCCAATATGAAATATTGGCACTGGCAATATATCATATGGAAAATGGACAACGTAGGCCACGGTGGGGAAGATACTGAAGAGGCAGTCGTGGTGATGGGCGAAGGCCATGGTGTGGAAGATAGTGAAAAGGTGGTCGTGGTGTTGTGCAAAAACCACAGTGGGGAAGATAGTGGAGTCGGTCGTGGTTTTGGGCGAAGGCCATGGTGGGGAAGATGATGGAGAGGTGGTCATGGTGTTGGGTGAAGGCCACAGTGGGGAAGATGGTGGGAAAGGAAATAAGGAAGAAAGTGGAGCATATTCTGAATAAACATGGAGTTACACAGGCCTTCTGGAAGATCTGCTGAAACCAAGAGAATACACAGGCCTTCTGGATGATCTGCTGAAAGACAAGATGATACACAGGCCTTCTGGATGATCTGTTGAAGGACAAGATGAAACACAGGCCTTCTGGATGATCTGCTGAAGGACAAGATTATACACAGGCCTTCTGGAAGATCTGCTGAAGGACAATATGATACACAGGCCTTCTGGATGATCTGCTGGAGGACAAGATGATGGACAAGAAAAAAAAAAGATATGTGGAATATTATTTGAGTGAATATGGAATGGAGGATCACACAGAACTTTTGGAAGAGCTTGAGGAGGAAATGGAAAAGGAGTCTGATGGCCTTGAGATAGAAGCTGTTTTTCAGTCTCTCGGTCCCAGCTTTGATGCACCTGTACTGACCTCGCCTTCTGGATTATAGCAGGGTGAACAGGCAGTGGCTTGGGTGGTTGATGTCCTCAATGATCTTTTTAGCCTTCCTGTGACATCGGGTGCTGTAGGTGTCCTGGAGGGCGGGTAGTTTGCCCCCGGTAATGCGTTCGGCAGACCGCACCACCCTCTGGAGAGCCCTGCGGTTACCCTGTGCAACTGGGTCCTGGACTTCCTGACGGGCCGCCCCCAGGTGGCGAAGGTAGGAAACAACACCTCCACTTCGCTGATCCTCAACACTGGGGCCCCACAAGGGTGCATGCTCAGCCCCCTCCTGTACTCCCTGTACACCCATGACTGCGTGGCCAAGCACGCCTCCAACTCAATCATCAAGTTTGCAGACGAAACAACAGTAGTAGGCTTCATTACCAACAATGACGAGACCGCCTACAGGGAGGAGGTGAGGGCTCTGGGAGTGTGGTGCCAGGAAAATAACCTCTCACTCAACGTCAACAAAACAAAGGAGATGATAGTGGACTTCAGGAAACAGCAGAGGGTGCACCCTCCTATCCACATCGACGGGACCGCAGTGGAGAAGGTGGAAAGCTTCAAGTTCCTTGGCGTACACATCACTGAGAAACTGAAATTGTCCACCAACGCAGACAGTGTGGTGAAGAAGGTGCAACAGAGCCTCTTCAACCTCATGAGGCTGAAGAAATGTTTCTTGGCACCTAAAACCCTCACAAACTTGAGAGCATCCTGTCGGGCTGTATCACCGTCTGGTATGGCAACTGCACTGCCCGGTTCAGACCCAGGGCCTCGAGCTTGGAGGGTACTATGAGGCACCCTTGTGGGGCCCCAGTGTTGAGGATCAGCAAAGTGGAGATGTTGTTTCCTACCTTCACCACCTGGGGGCGGCCCGTCAGGAAGTCCAGGATCCAGTTGCACAGGGCGGGGTTCAGACCCAGGGCCCTGAGCTTATTGATGAGCTTGAGGGTACTATGGTGTTGAATGCTGAGCTATAGTCAATGAACAGCATTCTTACATATGTATTCCTCTTGTCCAGATGGGATAGGGCAGCGTGCAGTGTGATGGCGATTGCATCGTCTGTGGTTTTATTGGGGCGGTAAGCAAATTGAAGTGGGTCTAGAGTGACAGGTAAGGTAGAGGTGATATGATCCTTGACTAGTCTCTCAAAGCACTTCATGATGACAGAGGTGAGTGTGTCACGACTTCCTCTGAAGCTGCCTCCTTTCCTTGTTCGGGCAGGCTTCGGCGTTCCTCGTCACCGGCCTTCTAGCCACTGCCGCTCCTCATCTCATCATTCCATTTGTTTTGACTTGTATATTACACACACCTGGTTCATATCCCCTCATCAGTACCTGTATAAGTGTTTCCTCTGCCCCCTTGTCTTTGTGCGTGATTGTCTATTGTGAGATTAGAGAAGCTCGGTTGAGCTCCTAGTATTTTGTATCGCCGGGATATTTCCCTGTGTGCCGTGTTGTTCCAGTGCACACTGGAGTGTTTTGACGCATTACTGCGTAACTCTGTGTTCCGGAATAAATGCTGTTATTCTGTGATATACCCTCCTGCGCCTGACTCCTTTGAAATCACTCATCACAGAGTGCTACGGGGCGATAGTCATTTAGTTCAGTTACCTTTGCTTTCTTGGGTACAGGAACAATGGTGGCCTTCTTGAAGCATGCGGGGACATCAG